AGGCATCATGCACACTAGGCTCTTCTGAATACTTTTCTCCTGACAAGAGAAAAGCAGTGTTAAAAACGTACCTAAAGACACGTTTTCACTGTGTGTATGTATATATATATATACACTCCTACAAATCCGCTCCCTCAACCTCCTAGCCATCACCGAAACCTGGGTACAGGCCACTGACACTACCTCCCCTGCGGCACTCTCCCATGGAGGTCTCGTCTGGTCCCATTCACCAAGACTGAGCGGTCACAAAGGTGGTGGTGTCGGCCTGCTCCTATCACCGCTGAGCACCTTCCAGGTCCTCCCTAACCCCCCCTCCCTAACCTTCTCCTCCTTCGAGGCTCACTGCATCCGGCTCTTCTCACCCACCCCCCTAAGGATCGCAGTGATCTACAGGCCCCCCGGATCCATAGCCCGCTTCCGGGATGACTTCGCCGCCTGGCTTCCCTTCTTCCTCTCCTCTGAGCTACCGACCATCATCCTCGGGGACTTCAACATCCCCATCAATGACAACACCCCAGCTACCTCCCAACTCCTCCACCTAACCTCCTCCTTCACACTCACACAATACACTCAATCCTCCACCCACATCAATGGGAACACCCTGGACCTCGTCTTCTCCCACCTCTGTACCCTTAACCACTTCACTAACACCCCCTTCCCTCTCTCCGACCACCACCTCCTCACGTTCTCCACCTCCCCTTCCCCTAACTCCCCCCCCCCAGTGCGCCAAACCATCACCAGCCGCAACCTCCGCAACCTGCACCCGGCCCCCCTCACTCGGCTGCCGACCGCTTAAACGACAGCATCCTTCCACTGTCATGTCCTGACCTAGCCACCTCCACGTACAACGACTCACTATCAGCTACCCTAGACTCTCTGGCACCCCTAACCACACGCAACATCAAACCCAGACCGCTCCAACCATGGCAGAACGACCACACTAAATGCCTCAAACGTCGCAGTCGTGCGCTGGAGAGACTATGGCGCAAAACCAGGTCCCCTCATGCATTCTCCCTCTACAAATCTGCCTTCCTCACCTACACCTCCTCCCTCCACGCCGCCAAGCAGGCCTACTTTGTTAACCTGATTAACACCCTCTCCACCTGCCCTCGCCGACTCTTCTCCACCTTCAACTCCCTGCTCTCCCCCCCCCTCCTCCACTCAGTACCTCACTTACCGCCCACGAGATTGCCACTCATCTCCACAACAAGATTGACGCAATCCGCAAGGACATAGTCAACTTGCAATCTACCTCCCCATCTAGCCTCCCCTTCCATCCATCACCCCCTCATCTCTCCCCTCCTCTGACCTCGCAACGGCACTGCCCCCCACCACACCCAAGGCCCTGCCTACCGTAACCCCCCCCATCACTGCACTCCTTCAGCCCTACTACCACTGAGGAAGTCAGCAGAGTCTTCTCAGAAGCCCGCCTCACTACCTGCCCCCTGGACCCTATCCCCTCTCAACTCCTCCGGTCACCCCCCTCTTCCCTCATCCGCTCCCTTACCCACATCTTTAATCTCTCCCTCTCTACTGGCGTCTTCCCCTCCCCCCTAAAACATGCGCACATCATCCCCATACTCAAAAAGCCCTCCCTGGACCCCACTGACCTCAACAACCTCAGACCAATTTCCCTGCTGCCACTCACTTCCAAGCTCCTTGAGCGCTTGGCCTTCGATCGCCTAAGCGCCCACCTGACTGACAGCAACCTCCTTGACCCACTACAGTCCGGCTTCCGTCCCCTACACTCCACCGAAACTGCCCTCCTCAAAATCACCAACGATCTACTAACCGCCAAAGCCAAAGACGACTACTCTGTCCTCCTCCTCCTAGACCTCTCCGCGGCCTTTGACACAGTCGACCACCCCCTCCTCCTTAATAAACTACTCTCCCTTGGCATCAGAGACACCGCTCTCTCCTGGTTCTCGTCCTATCTATCCCAACACTCCTTCAGCGTTTCCTACAACGGTGCCACCTCCTCCTCCTCCTCACCCCCTCTCTGTTGGGGTCCCCCAGGGCTCTGTCCTTGGACCCCTTCTCTTCTCCATCTACACCTCCTCCCTTGGCAAACTCATACACTCCCACGGCTTCAATTACCACCTCTATGCTGATGATACTCAAATCTACCTATCCACCCCTCACCTCACCCCCACATTCTCCGCCCGCATCACTCACCTCCTAAACGACATCTCTGACTGGATGTCGCTCCATTTCCTCAAACTCAACCTCTCCAAAACCGAGCTTCTCATCTTCCCCCCAGCCCGCGCCCCCCCCCCATCCTTTCCATCACTACCAACAACACCACCATCAATCCCGCCCAGCAAGCCAAGGTCCTTGGCGTCATTCTGGACTCAAACCTTTCCTTTCAACCTCATATCAAATCTCTCACAAACACATGCAGGCTCCACCTCCGGAACATCTCCAAGATACGCTCCTTCCTTACCCCAGACACCACTAAACTACTAGTACACTCCCTGATTATCTCACGCCTGGACTACTGCAACTCCCTCCTCACCGGCCTACCCCAGTGCAGGCTCTCCCCGCTTCAGACCATCCTGAACTCAGCGGCCAGACTCATCCACCTCACCAGCCGCTCCACCTCTGCCACCCCCCTCTGCCTCTCCCTCCACTGGCTCCCCATTGCCCAACGCATTAAATTCAAATTGCTCACACTGACCTATAAGGCCATTCACAACACTGCCCCTAACTACCTCACCGACCTGATTCCCAGGTACCACCCTACCCGTACCCTTCGCTCTTCACAGGACCTCCTTCTCTATCTTGCTCCCTGGTCTCCTCCTCCCCCACGCACAACTGCAAGACTTCTCCAGGTCCTCCCCCATCCTCTGGAACTCACTACCCCAATCCATCAGACTGTCACCTTCCCTCCTCACCTTCAGGCGCTCCCTGAAAACCCACCTCTTCAGGGAAGCCTACCCCACCCTCACCTAACAGCCGCTGCCCTTCCCTCCTCCTACCACTCCATCCCCCACAGCCGTTTCCTCCTGTGCCTCTACCCCCTCCCTCCTAGATTGTAAGCTCGAAAGAGTAGGGCCCTCTTACCCCTTGTGTACTGTTTGATGTTACTGTTCTGTTTCATGTATTGTCCCCCCTCTATTGTACAGCGCTGAGCAAACCCTTTGGCGCTATATAAACTCGATAAATAAATAAATAATAAATAAATATATATATATAAAAATGCACATGATTTTGCACTTACGCCACTGACGTATCACTTCTGCTGTGGACTATCACAACAGGAGTCCCAGCAAACAGATGTTCTCTGGCATCAGTGATTGATCAATGGGGCAGCACAGTGGCTAGCACTTCCACCTGGCAGTACAAGGGTTGTTGGTTCAAATCCCAGCCATGGCACCACCTGCCTGGAGTTTGTGTGTTCTCCCTGTGCCTGCGTGGGTTTCCTCCAGGTACTCTGGTTTCCTTCCACACTCCAAGACATGCTGTAGGTTAATTGGATCCTGTCTAAATTGGCCCTAGTATGTGTATGTATGAATGTGAGTTAGGGACTTTAGCTTGTATGCCCCTTGAGGGTTAGGGACTGATGTGAATGTACAAAATATATTGACGGCGCTATATAAGTACCTGAAAGAAATAAATAAATAAATAAATAAAATTGATCATGTGTCCCTGAAGAGCTAGGAACTTGATCCATCACTTCCCCTTGTACCAGCACCACCTAGTGTACACCAAGCACATAGCTAGGCATATACCTAACCCTTTGATCACCCTAGATGTTAATCCCTTTCCAACCAGTGTCATTAGTATAGTGATTAGAGTATATTTTTAACACTGATCACTGCATTAGTGTCACTGGTTCCCACAAAGTGTCAGTGTAAAAATGTCTGCCGCAAGATCACAGTCCCGCTATAAGTCGCTGAACGCCACTATTACTAGTATAAAAAAAAAAGTCCCATAGTTTGTAGACGCTATAACATTTGCACAAACTAATCAATATATGCTTATTGGGATTTTTTTACCAAAAAATATGTAGCAGAATACATTTTGGCCTAAAGTTATAAAGAAATTTTTTATAGTAGAAAATACAAAATATTGTTTTTTATCCAAAATTGTCAAAAACATATTCAGGCGCATCAAGCATTTGGCCATATATTTATTTATTTCGCCAGAATATTAATTTATTCTGGCCATTGAAATGAATACACACTCAAGAGCTAAATGAGCCTAGCCACCTTTCCAGGTGTTTAGGCGCATCAGGAATTTTTTCTGCCCAAATGTTGTTCTTCTGAACCCTATTTTGATGTGTTCAGATTTCTGCCCCTAAAAGCCCCTACCTCTAAACTACAATAAATGCATACTAAAATGGGCGTTTGAAATCTGCAATGTGCATGAGGCTTTAAAGGCTTCTAACTGCAGTGGGAGCCTTAAGCCCCAGTACATCTAACAAAAGTATAGCTAGCAAAGTGGAGCTTTCTGGCCATCTCAGTATTGCTCCAAAACTGTACCCATGCTATATCACAACATACAAAGAGCATGCCAGAAATTCTGCAAATCCATACCTTATAATAGTTTTTTTATTATAGAATAAAGTTTGGACACGCATGAGAATGTACATTAAGTAAATATATAATATGCTTGCTGACAACTAACGTGCATGTTTACTTTCAACTGTGAATTAAGGATACTTTTTTCTACATTTTAATATAATTAAATTAAATATAATTTTTTTTAAATATATATTTCCAGTTTGTACAGTATTTTGGGTTCATCAACATTAGTGATTTTAATTTTATGTGATTGAGAGAATTAACCACTTGTATGCTTCATTTACAACACATTGATTTTAAAATTACCCATGTAATATAGGCTAATGATTTTTGTCTTTAACTATTTTTACTGTAGTGATGACAAACAGCAAGAATGAGGGTTAGTTTACAAGCAAAAGTAAAATATATTTAAAATATATTAGAAATCCTTCTGCTGATCTGTAGTGTACTGTTTATAATGGAACAACAAAATCTAAAACATGGCCATCATCTTTTCACAGCCAGAAATTAAGCTTCAAGGAGCGTGTACGTATGGCAAGTCCAAGGGGGCAAAGCATAAAGAGCAGACAAACATCAGTAGGTGATCGTCGTTCTCCCAGTGCTGATGTGACTTCTGAGGCGAGCCCAACAAAAGTACAGAAAAGCTGGAGTTTCAATGACAGAACTCGTTTCCGCCCTTCTCTGAGGCTAAAGAGTTCTCAACCGAAACCAGTGGCTGACAGTAAGTTTTTCTTTTCTACCCTAGATCCCAAAGATAGCATGCCAATAAAAGCTATTGTACTTTATTACAATACAATTATCAACAAATTCAGTAAATCATCTATTCATATGCAGAAGTTGAACTTTACCATATTATTATTATTATTATTATTATTATACAGTATTTATAAAGCGCCAATAGTTCGCTCAGCGCTGTACATTACAAAGGGGGACAGAACATGTGACAGAACAATACCAATACAATGCAAAACATGAGGGGATCGAGGGCCCTGCTCTTTCGAGCTTACAATCTAGGAGGGAGGGGGTGGTGGCACAGGAGGAGATAGCTGTGGGGGATGGAGTGGTAGGAAGAGTGGAGGAGGTCGGCAAGTTAGCACGGGGTGTGGGTAGGCTTCCCTGAAGAGATGGGTTTTCAGGGTGCGCCTAAAGGAGAGGAGAGTAGGTGATAATCTGATGGGTTGGGGCAGGGAGTTCCAGAGGATGGGTGACACCCTGGAGAAGTCCTGGAGGCGGGCATGGGAGGAGGAGACCAGGGAACTAGAGAGAAGGAGGTCTTGTGAGGAGCGGAGTGTGCGTGCTGGGCGGTACTTGGATATTAGGTCAGTGATGTAGTTCGGGGCAGTATGGTGGACAGCTTTGTACGTCAGCGTTAGGATTTTGAATTTGATCGGAAGCCAGTGGAGGGATTGGCAGAGGGGGGTGGCGGAGACAGAGCGGTTGGAAAGGTGAATGAGTCTGGCAGCCGTATTCAGGATGGACTGAAGCGGGGATAGCCAGCGGCGAGGCAGGCCAGTGAGGAGGGAGTTGCAGTAGTCGAGTCGTGATATGATGAGGGAGTGGATGAGCTGTTTAGTGGTTTCTGGGGTTAGGAACGTGCGGATTTTGGCGATGTTGCGGAGGTGGAGTCTGCACGAGTTTGTTAAAGATTGGACTTGGGGCTGGAAGGATAGGTTGGAGTCCAGAATGACACCCAGTACTCTGGCCTGCAGGGCGGGTTTGATGGTAGCGTTGTTGGATGTGACAGAGAAATCAATGAGGGGTGGTGTCCGGGCTGGGGGGAAGACAAGAAACTCGGTTTTGGAGAGGTTCAATTTAAGGAAGTGGAGCGACATCCAGTCTGATATGTCGCTCAGTAGGTGTGTGATTCGGGCTGAGACCAAGGGGGTGAGGTGGGGGGTTGAGAGATAGATTTGTGTGTCGTCGGCATAGAGGTGGTAGTTGAAGCCGTGAGAGTGTATGAGTTGGCCAAGGGAGGAAGTATAGATGGAGAAGAGAAGGGGCCCGAGGACAGAGCCTTGAGGGACCCCAACAGAGAGGGGGAGTGAGGGGGAGGTGGTAGCATTATAGGTAACGCTGAAGGAGCGTTGTGACAGGTAGGATGAGAGCCAGGAGAGAGCAGAATCTCTGAGGCCGAGGGAGTGTAGTTTTTTGAGGAGGAGGGGGTGGTCGACTGTGTCAAAGGCCGCAGAGAGGTCAAGGAGTAGGAGCACTGAATAGTGGCTATTAGCTTTGGCGGTTAGCAGGTCGTTGGAGAGTTTGAGTAACGCAGTTTCGGTGGAGTGTAGGGGACGGAAGCCGGACTGTAGGGGATCGAGGAGGTTGTTGTCGTTGAGGTGAGAGCATAGGCGGGTGTAGACTAGGCGCTCAAGGAGTTTAGATGTAAATGGGAGCAGGGAGATGGGTCTGAGGTTGTTCGGGTCATTGGGGTCCAGGGAGGGCTTTTTAAGTATGGGGGTGATGTGTGCATGTTTCAGAGGGGAGGGGAAAGTGCCTGAGGAGAGGGAGAGATTGAAGATGTGGATGAGGGAGCGTAGGATGGAGGAGGAGGAAGGTCGTAGGAGTTGTGAGGGGATAGGGTCGAGGGGGCAGGTGGTGAGGCGGGCATCAGAGAGGATCTTGGAGACTTCCTCGATGGTAGTAAGGTCAAAGGTGCAGAGTGTGGGGGGAGCTTCAGTATGAGGAATGTAGGGTGGGGTGGAAGAGGAGGTCAGAGCAGTGGTGGGGCCGTGGGAGAGGGGTGATGAGGGGGTAGCTGAGTGAGGGTGAAGGGGGTTGGAGAGAGTTTCAGCAGCGACGAAGTCCCTGCGGGTTATGTCGAGGGGGAGGGGGGATAAGGGGGTAGCTGTGTGAGAGGGGACGGGTTGAGAGGGCGTGTGAGTTGCAGCAATGTCCTTGCGAATTGTGTCAATCTTGTTTTTGAAGTGATTGGCAATCTCAAGGGCAGTGAGTGAGGTGCTGGGTGGAGGTGGGGGTGGAGAGAGTAGAGAGTTGAAGGCAGAGAAGAGTCGGCGAGGATTGGAGGAGAGGGCCTTGATGAGGGTCAAGAAGTAGGCCTGTTTGGCAGCATGGAGGGAGGAGGTGTAGGTGCGGAAGGCAGATTTATAGCGGGTGAAGGCTTGTTGGGATTTGGTTTTGCGCCATAGTCGCTCTAGGGCACGACTTTGTCGTTTGAGGGTTTTGGTGTGATCAGTCTGCCAGGGCTGGAGCGGTTGGGGTCTGATGTCGCGTGTGTTTAAAGGCGCTAGTGAGTCAAGGGCTGTTGAGAGCGCATTGTTGTAGGCGGTCAAAGCCAAGTCGGGGCAGGACAGGGGGAGGATGCGGTCGTGGAGTTGGTCAGCTGCAGAGTGGAGGGAGGCAGGGTTAAGGTTGCGGAGGTTACGGCTGGTAGTAGTGTGACATTTGGAGGGGTAGGCGTTGGAGGACGAGGAGATAGAGAAGGTGATCAGTTTGTGGTCAGAGAGAGGGAAAGGGGTGTTAGTGAGGTTGTGGGGAGCGCAGCGGTTGGAGAAGACAAGGTCCAGGATATTTCCGTCAGAGTGGGTGGTGGATTGTATGCACTGTGCAAGTGCAAAGGAGGAGGTTAGGTGGAGGAGACGGGCTGTGTCTGGGTTGTCGAGGTTGACAGGGATGTTGAAATCCCCAAGGATGATGGTGGGTAGCTCAGAGGAGAGGAAGAAGGGTAGCCAGGAGGAGAAGTCATCCAGGAAGCGGGGTATAGATCCAGGAGGCCGGTATATCACAGCAATCTTCAGGGGGGTTGGGGAGAATAGTCGGACGCAGTGGGCCTCGAAGGAGGAGAAGGATAGGGAGGGGGGGTTTGGGAGGACTCAGAAGGTGCTCTGCGGTGACAGGAGCAGACCATCCCCACCACCTTTACGACCGTTAGGCCTGGGTGAGTGGGTCCAGGTGAGACCTCCATAGGAGAGTGCAGCAGGGGAGGTAGAGTCAGTGGGCTGGATCCAGGTTTCTGTGATCGCTAGGAGGTTGAGGGAGCGGGAAACAAAGAGGTCGTGGATGGCGGTAAGCTTGTTGCACACCGAACGGGCGTTCAGGAGTGCACATGAAAACGGGGGGGAGATTTTAGGGAGCAGGGGGACAGATACTAAGTTGCGGGGGTTGCAGTAGGACGTGGAGGTGGGAGGGTGTTGAGCGGGTGAGGGAGGTGGAGGGCCAGGATTCGGGGAGATGTCCCCTGCGGCTGGGAGGAGGAGAAGGGTGAGAAAGGTGGCATGGGAGCGGGATGTGCAGGAGCGTGAGAAACTACTAGTGGAGGTGTTGGGGTCAGTAGGAGAGCGGAGTAATAGGAGGAGGTGGGTGCCATAGAGGGGCGAAGGAAGCAGTGAGGACACAATATACAATTGTTTGGGAGGGGCAGAGGGATATAGTGAATGAATTTTGGGAATGGAGGAGAGGAAAATGAGAAGGAGGAGTGGAAGAGGCATTTTGGGGAGGTGAGTGAGCAATAGTAGGGAGATGATAGCAGTGAGGGGGAAATGTACAGGTTGTGGGGTGGAGCAGAGGGGTAAAGAAATGAGATTTGGGAACAGAGGATAGTAATATGATAAGGAAAAGAGGGGGCATATATTATATAAAGGTACACAGAGTGGGACTCAGGCATGTAAGAGGTATATATCATATCATATATACCATATATCATATACCTCACGGGCAGCACAGTGGATAAATGGTTAGCGCTTCCGCCTTGCAGTACTAGGGTCGTTGGTTCGAATCCCCACCACAGCACCAGCTGCCTGGAGTTTGCATGTTCTCCCTGTGTCTGCGTGGGTTTCCTCCGGGTTCCTCCCACACTCCAAAGACATGCTGGTAGGTGAATTGGTTCCTGTCTAAATTGGCCCTAGTATGTGTATGTATGAATGTGAGTTAGGGACCTTAGATTGTACACCCCTTGAGGGTTAGGGACTGATGTGAATGTACAATATACATGTAAAGCGCTGCGTAAAATTGACGGCGCTATATAAGTATCTGAAATAAATATCAATATATTGGAGGAAATTTACTAAAATTGGAGCACTCAGAATCTGGTGCAACTGTGGTTGGGAGCCAATCAGCATCTAACTCCAGCTTGTTAAATTAAGCTCTCCAATAAAACCTGGAAGCTGATTGGTTACTATGAAGAGCTGCACCAGATTTTGCTCCATGAAGTTTTAGTAAATAACCCCCATTGCATTTTCACAGGCAGCCAGCAGGTGGACCTTTCTTGTCAAGTTTTCCCCAACCAAATGAATGTCTCAGACGTGCTACACCTCCACTTCACTACCTCTGGCATGGGCAAACACATTAATTTTAAAAGATATGGAACATTAGAAGAAATACAATTAGTGGCGTAATGTGTTGTGTATGACAGTGAATTTTTAGTGTGTAGTTATTTAGAGGCATAGTTTAACCCTTTCATGATCAGAGGCTATTTAAACCTAGATGTCCAGAGCAAATTTATGAGCATTACTATGCTTGAGTTAACTTGATAATACTTTTATATCCAATTTACTTACCTAATAGTAGAGAAGCTGATGTATATATTCTCTGAGTTAGCCTTTAATTACCGTATGTACTTTTGAACAGTTGCATTTGCTGCTGCCGCAGATACGTAGACGATTTAATTTCCCAGTATTATGCCCCGTACACGCTATAAGAAAATCGTATGAGGACCGATTGTCTGATAATTGAATCATTAGTGCACAGCTTTTGAAAGCCGATCACAAC